AAAAAAAAAAAAAAAAAGAGTAGGGCAGAAACCACAAGTGGTTAATAATGTGGTCCTCTCCAGTTTCTGCCCTCATTTATAAAAGGGGTTGTGATGAGCATTAAATGAGTTCTATTACATACAGCTCTGAAAATCATGCCTGACACATAGTAAACGCTCAACAATCAGCTATTCTTATTACTTTCTGATGGTTGCTGAATTAGGATAATTCTGAGAAAAAATAACAGGAAAAAAATGGTGCTTGAAGTCTTATATTTAAAAACACCTTCCTTTTAATAGTATCAATATATTAATATTTCCAGTTTCACGCTCATGTCTTTACCAGTTCATCTCTTTGAAGGTCTTTTAGGGCAAAGATTTCCTTCCCCTTTTCACTGAACAATCTCCGAGCTGCAGAAGGTAAATTTAAAATTTCAGTGCACCTGTAATAAGAGACACAAAAATTAACCTTGCACATGCAAAGTTTCCAGCAGAGAAGAGAGGAAACAAAAGAAATCACGGGCCTGGATCATTAACAACAACTAGCTCAGCAGGACTGTGGGATAGTCAAGAGCTCGGCTCAGGAAACCAGCAGCTCCCTTTTGAGTTTCATTCTCCCTCTCCAAGTTGTAAGACTGGGCAAATTATTTAAGCTCTCTAAGCCTAAATTTCTTACCTTTCAAGGTTGCTGTGAAGATTAAGGGTTGATTACAAAACGTGCTTAGCACAGTACCAAGCATGATCAACAAATCAAAAAAACAAAAAAAACCACATCATTGTTTATTTTTCACTCCTCAGTATGCCCCTACACTTTCCTGTTTGTGTGCCTTTTCTCTTGTTCTCCCTTCTAGATTAAACACCTTCCTCAGCTTTTGCTGTTGAAGTTCTACTCTCTCCAAAGTTACATCCACCATGCAGCAGTTCCTCATCTCTCTCCACCAGAAGTGATCCCTATATATAGCTCTTTAACTCCCTTTCAAATAGGAATTTTTTGCCAGGTTAAACATTAAACAGTGATTTTTTTTGCCCCCAAACAAGCTCTGGGCCAGTCCTGTGGATATTGAGATGAACGATACAGTTTCCTTGTTTCCTGAAGGGCTCCTTCTCTAGTAGCGGGGAAAGACCAGTCAGCAACTGAAGTGTGATATGAACTAGTGGGTGCTGTCACAGGCACCTGGCCACGGAGGTGAGGACACAGGGGAAACACAATGAATTCTTCCAGGGAAGCCTCAGGTAAGGAAGTAACATTCGAGGTGGGCCTTGATGAATAAACAGGAGTTCACCAAGTAAGTTTTATATGGCTGGAGCTGAGTTTGTGGACAAGTGGTAGAGCCAGATGAAGCTGGTAAAAAAGATGGAAACCAACTGAAAGCACTTAGGATGCCAGACTAATGAACCTGGCCTTTATCCCATTAAGTATCAGGAAGTCATTGAAGGAATTATAAGTAGAGGTATGGTGTTGGCAGATCTGCTTTTTAGAAAGCCAACTGTCAGAAAAGTGCAAGATGGGCTGGAGGTGGAGAGGCTGGAATCTATATAGTCAGTTTAGGGTAGAGGTAAAGAGGTGGAATTCTGGGGAAGAGGAAGTCGAGCTAAACAGAGTGATGGGTCGTGTCCGAAAGAATGCTGTTTTATATTAGAACATACTGCCTATAATAAATGAGTTAGAAGTGACTTTATGTTCCTCAAGAAGAGTCAGCTGTATGAAAATATTTCTCAATTTTATTACCTTAGATGGCCAAAAGCAATCGAGCAGGTAATTAGGCCCTCCATTTTTCTGAGAGGTCTTAGAAGTAAATAAGCCAGTAGGAATTAAGTCTCTCCCTCTCCTGTCACAACTCTGGAGGCTGATGGGCTGGTGAGAACTGGACTGGGTTTCTCATCCATAGGAATTGTTAGGTGGAGGTATTGCGGGGCGGGTGGGAGGGAGAAC